CGGCTGCTCACTGTGGGGCTGGAGCTGGGTGAGATCCCGCAGGATGGTGCGGAAGGACGGCCGCTCCCCCGGGGTGTAGTTGAGGCACTGAGAGATGAGGGTGGCCAACTCCTTGCAGGACGGCTCGGGCAGGCGATGCCTTTTCTCGTAGAAACGCTCTTTCTAAGAGAAAAGAAAGAAAAAAAACGGGTCTCCGACGGGGCTGGATCCGTCGGGAGGGAGGAGGCGGGGAGGGAGGAAGAGGAGAAGACAAGGCACCTCCGAAGGAGTGCGCTCCTTGAGCGGGACGTCGGCGTCGAAGCAGATTTCCAGCAAAGTGGTGCCGAAACTCCATTTGTCGGCCGCCGTGCTGAGGTTTCCCACATCCCGGACGCATTCCGGGGCGATCCAGGGAATGCGATCCACGCGTTCTTCGGGAAGAGAGAAGGCAAAGTGAGGCGGCGTTGGGGATACAGCCGGAAAAACGCCACGAAAATCGAGAGCTGGGGGGAGGAAAAAAGCCCCCCAGCCAGCGGGGAGCTGCGGTGGGACCGGCTCTAACAGCAGCTTTAAAGCCAAGACGAGCCACTGTCACAAAAATCGCCCGTCCGCGCGTTCAAAACGCCGTATATCGCCAAAATTGAGGGCAGAAAGGCAGGCAGGACCTCGCCAAAACAGCTCAGGCGCAATCCACGCTATTTATTAGCAAACCTGGGCTGCAGGAGGAAAGGGGGGAGGGGAAAAAGCACCTCATTTTAGCTCAGGTCCAGCCCTGCTTGGTGCAAGCGCGGGATGACGGAATACCTTCTCGAGAGAGCACGGTAAAGCTGACTCCGGGGTCGCTGAGCTTCACGAAAGGCACGGATCCGTCTTCCAGCCCCTTCCTGGCCAGCAGGATGTTTTTGGCGCACACGTTGCCATGCACCAGGTTTTTGTCCTCCTGCGAAAACGAAGCGGGATAGGAAATCTTGGGAGAAAACTCCGGCAGACGGCTCGGAACGAGCTCAAGTCTACGGATTACAGCCAAAAAATAATAATAAAAAAAAAATAATAAAAAAGCAGGACTCCCGGCTCTAATTACCCGCGTCACCTCCCCGTCTCATTATCCCTTTGCAGAAAGCCGAACCCGGGGCAGGGGAGGAATAAAAGGAAGGGGAGGATTCCGCAGCGCTGGGGCGCGTGCCCTCACAAGCAGCCCAGCCAGCGGGGAAGGCGGCGGCGGCGTCCTCGTCACCCGCGCGGCTCTTTTCAGCCCCAAAAACGAAAGCTGCAAGAAGCGGGACGCGGCACGGCAAGTTCCCCGCGCGCTACCCCATCTGCTCGCCTCCGGGGAAGAGGGAGCCAGGATGGGTTTTGCGAGGAGCGTGGCGGGGCGTTTTAACGCTAAAAATGGGTGGATTTGCTCAGAGGGCAGAGAAAAACGTGGCTGATCCTCCCTGCCACGCTGCCAGCGAGACCCAGCCGGAGCAAAAGATGCTCGGAGGTGATCTCCGGCACGGTTCCCTGCCGGAAAAGCGCCGTCTCCCAGCACCATTACCAGGTAACTCAAGGCACTGGCCAACTGTTTGGCCACGGTGATTTTCCAGCCCACGGTGACTCGGCCTTTCTCTTTGCGCAACAGCACGTCCAGAGGTCCGTGTTCCACAAACTCCTCCACCATGATATCTGGGGAAAACGGGAGATGTTTCCCCTCAGCCTTCGGCACGGGAGCCGATCGGCTCGGTGACGGAGCTGGCAGCGGCCGAGGGAAAGGCACCGGCACAAGGTGAGGTCGGCTGCGGTAAAAGTCGGGGAGGGGGAAAAGCGCCCTACTCACTCTCGGAGCCTCGCACGCAGACTCCGTGCACGAAAGCCAAGTGGACGTGCGACACTTGGCTCATCAGGCTGGCCGTCTCGAAAAACGCCTGCGGGGAAAGGAGAGAGGGTGTCACGAAGGCAGAGAGTCTCTCGGAGCACCTTTAGAGAAGCTCGGAGCTGTTTTCATAGAATAGAACTGTTTGGGTGGGAAGGGAGCTTGAAGATGATCCAGTACCACCCCCTGCCCTGGGCAGGGCCACCTCCCCCCAGCCCAGGTTGCCCCAAGCCCCGTCCAACCTGGCCTTGAACACCTCCAGG